ATATTAATTAACATTTATTTTATCAACATTAATAAGAAAATAATTTTAATTAATTAATTAATTAAATTAAAATCAAAATTTACACTTTTCAAGCAAATTAAATATAAAAGATATGTTAGAAAATGTGAATTTCAATTAGGTTAATAAAAAATCTTAATTAATGCTAATTGAACCAATTAAAGTAATAAGTTAAATTTAACTGAAATTAATTAATAATGATTAACATTATCCAATTTAGTTAATTAATATTATTAAATCCGAGAGCATTAATTTTTAAATTCAGAATCTTTATATTAATAAGGTTTTTTTAATTTGTGACTTTTACTTACGTTAAGAGTATCTTTTTATAAATCAATATATAAAATAAAAAATTGATAATAATTTTATTATTGATGTCAAGTAAAAAAATTTAATTACATTATTGATAAATTAAAAATTAATTTTTATTTTTTAATATAAATTTATGATAAATATATATTTATTACATTTAAGATTTAAATTAAAAAAACTCATATTAATATTATTAAATTGTCTTCCCTACATGTATATTTTACAGACCGACACTCAAAAACAAACTGTAAACGAACAAGATCCAAAGCATATATGCCGAATCCATTCACAACCAATACTCAAAGATCAAAGATTAACAAAATAGGATATAAATATTGAGGTGCAGGAAAAATAGAAAGTTCTTACCTTATAAAATAAATGGGTGAAGTTTGTTATCGTGCCTTTACTTATTAATATCATGTTTTTTTTATTTATTTATCATTATAGCTTTTAATAAATTAAAAAAATAATATAAAAATATAATAAATAATTATATTAAAATAATATAACATTAACTATTTAAATATAATACCAACGAAACTAATTGATTCAAGTGAAAAGAGATAAGTAACTTTAAATAAGATTTTGAGTTTAAATTTTGTGAATGCAACAATAGAGTTTCTTGAATGAGATATGCGATTTCAAATTAATTGAAACCCAATATAATTATCGAATACAAAAACAATAAAAAAAATATTTATATATAATAATAATCTCATACTCCCAATCATAATTACAAGATAGTTAAGACATAATAATGCAGATCAATATCATCTGTTTGAAACCAACATGTGCATCATACAGATCTTAGCTCAAAACAAGCATCAACCACAGACAACTCGAAGATTTTATCACATAAGGGTTGTTTCTTGGGGCCAGTGGTTTCCGGGTACCCCATTTTGGGATAGTCCCGGAGACCAAACCGCTAGAAACCCTCTTATGCTCTCGGATAAGGTGTATACCTTGATCCAAAGCAGGAAAACAAAGAAGAGATGTACCGGAATCTCGCCGGGGACACTGCCGGGAATCGCCTTCTCCGATCTCTCTCTCTTTTGCCACCCTCTTTTTTTTTTTTTTTGCTATCTGACTGCGCCCTCTCTCTGCCTAAAATTTCCTAATAACAGG